AGACATACAATATGGCCGAAAATTCCGACGTTGCTGTTTTAGAGCAAGAGAACGCGCAGAAGCCTTGGGTGGTAAAAATGCGAAGCCATTTAAAACAATCAATCAAATGTGCATGGATTAAAAACTAGTGAGAGCAACAGCAGTGGGTATGTGTGGAAATGTCTCTGTACCGAAGCCAATGAAGCCCAGCCCGATGTACAAGAAAGTAACGGAAACATTTGAAAGAACACGAAAAAGAGGTTTCTTTTCGAATGCAATCGAAAGTGACCTTAATTGTGATTTAGGCCGTCGGCAAATTGTAACGAGCCGCTGATGGCAGGCTATGCATGACCTGAGCTATTTACAATTTGCAGAAATTATTGATGGGACTTGAAGGCATAACAATTTTGTCACTTAAAAGTTCTTCATCGTTTCGGATCACACTCTATCCATCTTCTTGGAGCGACCTCAAATACGCAAATCTTTGCCAATGTCTCAATTATTGGCAATATTTCCGCTACCTGTCAGAAATAGGTCATGGAACACTGGTCACCGAGTCAATTCCTGCATCAGCTGATTTGTGCCTCAATCCTCAGGTGGAGTAAAAATCACAAGGACAATGTAGCTTTAAACGTAATAAGAAGTTAATCAAGCAGAGAGGGAAGGGATCACTCGTACGGCAGCGAACTCGAAACAACGAAGAAGACCAGATTCTCCCAAAGGGCGAATCCGTTGCTGCAAAACCCAGAGGCAAGTGCGCAACCGGTCCGGTCAGACACAAACGAAATCGTTGCCTCCGGACAAAGTCAGTAGATGAAGAACAACAGCGGAGGAGTCTGGTCGGTGAATGTTTCTTTCGACTCAACGACGGCGAGCGCACGTCAAACCTTGGACGGACGGACGGACAGACCGACAGGCAGACAGACAGATCGAATCGAACAGCTTCGCTTCGAGAGTATCTCCAGCAACACACCTACCGCATAGTCTTGACGCCTGGCGACGCTGTCTTTTGGCGATGAGAAGATTTACAGTCAACCGACCGAACGACTGCTTCGGCTGTGCCGCAGCTCATGCGAAATGGCGACGAGGGAGGACGACGAAGGCGGCGGAGCGATCCTCCACGTGAGGTCACGTGTTCTAGCTTTGCCTCTTTGCGAGCCGGTGGTCTGTAGCCAGGCGGATGGCGGGTCGCAATCGTTTCCCGTCCAAGTCCAGGTGTCGGGTGCACGTCATCTCGTCAGGGAACCTCGCCTTTGACAGGCGAACCGGTTTCAGGCGAAGAATGCGTGACGACCGCTTAGCGCCTGGTCATACAAAAAGCAAACACCACCGTTTCTTGAGTACGCGAAAGCACG